CTGAGGTTGGGGTGAAGCTGACAAATGCTGAGCGAGAGGTAGTGGGGGCGTACTGGTAGAAGGATGGATCGGGGTCACGGAAAGACGGGATATGGTAAGGGTAAGGTGGTGAATTCGGGTAATTTTGGTGGTGAGAGTATTAGCATTAAACTGGGAGGCCAGGAGTTAGACAGATCAAAGGAGAAAAGGGCTTAGGGTTTATTATTTCCAAGATTTAAGGCTGAAAAGCAATATTGGGCTGCTAGGAGCAAGACGCTTCAGAAGCTGGGACTTATTAAAGAGAATGTGTCACATTTGAGGATGTTGAAGCAAGCGTCGGGCTTGATGAAACAACCTCACTTATCAAGCTAACTAACTATTGCTATACTTTTAAGCAGACATGACTGATCTAGACAACACAATTTTTCTGTTTAGTAAAGCTGCTCCTCAATGCGCCATTCTGTGATTACCTCGTCGCATGTTGCACAATATTGGATGAGAGCTATTCGACGGCCGGTTTTCTGAAAATGGTGCTCACGAACCCCAGACATGAAGCACTCGAACATTATATTTTTCTGGGCCTTGATGCCGCATGGGTTTTGGAATGGCAGGATTTGAATACCGTTATCATGACGTCATGAATGCCAATGTGCCCTTGAAACACTCTTCCAGACCGCAATGATAATAAATTTTCATCCCACAACCCTAGCAAGCCTTTCCGTAAATGCCCTCAGGGCACCAAGCTGGCAGGCAGCCTTGGGCATTGACTGAACTGCTAAGTGTCCAAAGTGCCTCTGACCGGTCAGGGAGTTCACCGAGCAGCCAGGAGGGCTCTTGGGGATGGAAGGGCTTCCCAGCAATCAGAAGGGCCCTGAGCAATTAAGAAAACCCCAAGTGTACAGAGGGTGTACAGTGTACAGGTGAAGATAACTAATTCACCCTGGTGACGGAGCCCTCAAAAGCCAGAGGTGATAAAAATAGCTTGGGTGATCAGAATCACCCGGTGCAGTCAGGTCAGGTCAGGCCAGGTTACCCCAGTATGCCGTCATTAAAACAGGTCTTTATGTTGCTAATTCAAAAACTTGTCACGTAACAGCTGCCACAAATAGGGAACTTGCACTGAAAACTGTTAACACCCTGGCATCAGCCTGCTAGTCCTTTCTTAGCAACGTATTAACCCTCGGCTTCATATGGGGAGCCGATGGGAAAATGGATGGAGATCATGTGGGGAGCCCCCAACCCCCCTCCCCCCTCCCTAGGGCTTCTGAGGATGCGAGTCTGGGATGTTGTGCAGTCGCACCCAATTTTATGGGGTATTCATCGCGCATATCTTGACACTAAAAACGTGTTTCCAGCATTTCTAGTTTCTGATAAGCGACGTTTTTGGGGAGTACAGCACGACGATTCACGGCTGGCGCGGCCGCCGCCGATTTTGCAGACCTTGTTTGGAGGCCTGATGCTGTATTTTTGTATTTTTGTTATTTTTGTTTTGCGTTATTTTTGGAACAGAATGGAGCATAAGAAAGATGTCGTGGGCTGTTTGGTGCGGGGTATGGCAAAGGGTATTTATGGAAACGCTTGCTGAGGTTGTGGGATGAAAGCTATTACAATTGAGAGTAATACCACTCAGGTTTTACCATGAAATGTATTACCATTGTGATGGAACCTAAGAAAGATACTATTGAGCCGTGTGGCATGGGTACGTTAAAGGGTATTTACGGAAAGGCTTGCTGGGGCTGTGTGATGAAATGTATTACCATTGAGGATCATGTAAGGTTGTGGAATGCGCGCTGTAATGCTTTGTCGTGGCCGGCACCAAAACTATCGGTTAAAGGATTTTTGGCACCAAGCGTTGCGTGAAAATAGGCATTTTTGTCGCCAACCTCATGCACTAAGTCGGCAATTTTTGCCACCCATGCTCACGGTCACGCCGTTTTTATGACCTGAAAACCTCTGGTTCCTGAGCCATGAGGCTACAGTTGATTACTTGGCAATTATATATGAATAGTAATAATAATAATTACTATTTGTGTGATTATGATTTTGTTATACAACTAAGTATAATAATAACAATGATTTTTAGAATTTTTTTTTGGAGATTCAAGTTAAATAAAAGCTAAATCTTAGAAAAACGGATCAGCTTATTTCGATACAAAAACCAAAAGTTCTGTGCAACAGGGAACAAGAAACTCGGCTTTGGATTGACAATCACACCATAATTTAATGGTGACGCTCTGTAGATCTACAGAAAAAATCGCATGCTTTTATTTAATGCTTCTTTTGTGCACTTTCATCCCGTTTGCAGCTCGGGTCTCTTGGTGGAGAATGTGCCTCACTTCCAACGCTAAATCATCCCCAAGGTCTGGAGGCTTGCGGAGCCGTGGATTTCCGTTTGCCCAGGCAAGTGTTCAGGGTTGTGTTTGATGTCGCTGTTATACCTTTAATACAATCTCAATTTTTCTGGCTTCAAACGAAAATTCCATGAAGGAACCATTACAAAAGAATCAAAACTTTTTCAATGATTACATCATCTATTTGCGCTACATTTATATGTATGACCTAGGGTGACACGATGCATTCAGACAAAATGCATGGTGTTACAAACAAAGTGAGTTCAGCGCGCAACCCGGAAACGTTGAGTCGTGACGTATATGACATGTTGTCTCTTTTCTCCGTTCTCTCTGCCTATCCGCACGGTCAGGGGAGGCGACTGATGTTTTGAGTGCGGACTCGGAGTCCGACGTCTGAGCGTCGGAGTCTCGCTGGTGGACTGTAGGTAGATTGAATATGTGCTCGTGGGCAGCAACGGACATGGACACTGAGTGCATTGAAACGAAAGATTGTGTGTGATACGACAAAAATATTATTCTGAAACGCGTAAGTTGCATCGCTCGTCTGGTCGTGGTGAATGTCGCTCGCGACGTTGTCGAATTTTCAGGATCGGCTCGCTTCCATCTTACGTTGCACCCAGAGGACAGTTTTTGGTATTATCTCCAGTATGATATTCGTGGAAAAGAAATATATTGGTGCCAAAAACACCAAGAAACGACACCAAGCAGCGACATGTAAGTGAAAAGGATGTTTGATTTCGCAAGCTGCTTAAGTCATGAGCCAAATGATTCAACGCAATCGATTAGTCTGAACTGAGCTGAATCAAGCGATTTGGAACAGCTATGAGTCATGAGCTGAATTAGAATTAGATCCCAAAGTCTGCAAGCCGGTCCTGGGCCGGTTCAGAAAATGTGAGTCGAACACAAGTCTGGTCTCTGGCACATTATTAGCACATACGTTCTTTCCTGCACTGATGCTTTAAGCTCATTCAAACTATTCCAAATAGCTGGCTCCTTGAAGCTAATGCACCATATGTCGAGAAGAAATATCGTGTTTAGAATCGGGTATAGCTCACTGAATGTTAACTCCAACAAAATGAAGCTCCGCTTTTGCCGACGGATGACATCATAAAGACGTGGCTGAACCCATCAGCGCACACCCCATACAAAGCTGTCAGTGCAGTGGAAACGAAACACTAAAGAAATAAATATTCGTCACCCAAAATGGCCATCTCTGCGCATGATTCAACGAGTGAAATATTACAACCATGTGACAATCGGCAATGGGATTATCTCACCACATCCAACGGCAAAGTATGTGGTTCCCATACATAATGAATATGGTTTCCTTGCTTATATAACAATCTGATTACAACGGCCAACCCGAGACCAAGGTCATGGCCCCTTCGCTCGAGGGGCTTCAAAAAGTGGACGGATGCCCAGAGCACCTTGTCCAGTCTACCCTTGACCGTACTCCGCCGGTCACCGCACGTGCAGCCCCTGTCAGCCACGGATGGGGTCAGCAGGTGCACAACACGGAACATCATCTACGAGATCACATGCCAGTTGTGTAACCCCGGCAAAAATTATCTCACATCGGTGAGACGGTGCGGGATTGGTATGCGTGTCAGGCGTGGGGATCTTCGAAACGCGATTAACAGAGCTTTTGGAAGCCTTCTCTGCGATCACGTTCTAAAAAACACCACACAGGTTCCATCCCACTGGAAAAGTTGCTCCTTAAAATGCTACGAAATTGCAAAAATGTGGCCGAGCCAACAATTGTCGAATCAATTTCATCGGTCACCACAAGCCAGCCCGATGCAGAAATAGATATGGGGAAACACATGGCTGTCCACGTGGCTCATCGTCCTGCAATATTTCTGCACAAATTTATTTTGTAACTTCTTATCAATTATTCACTGATTTCCTTTAATAAGGCCTCGGCACCACGTGTCAGCGCTGGCGTAGTTCGTGCGTTTGTAACAGCATGGTGTTAACTTGGCCGCCTTCCCATTGTTTTCCATCTTGGACTTGAATCGTTTTGAACAATAAGCAAAAACTCTTGAGAAGTGACAACACTAAACAAAACTGGAATGGCCTTGGACTGAACCGCCCGCACCATGCAATTTCAGGTATATACGCCATTTACGGTGAGAATGCTTTTAGCAGCCTTGGCCACCGGTAACACGACCCGAAATCCCTTGCTAACGGATAATCATCTCAGGGGAGAGGATTTCCGCCGGCGCGTGATTCGAATTAGCGGAGCAGCGCGTGAGTGTGTACATGGGCCCGACATTTCAGATCGAGGACGCGTCCCGGTTTAATTCGAATCACAGCTGCCCACGTAAACAGTGTGATAGTGACCAAATCATGTGGGAAACATCAAGGGTGACCTCGGATTTCGCCGGGCACGATGAACATCGGAAACACCGATGACGACGGGGATGAGCTGCGTTGACGCTTGCGGCTCATCCCAGCTTCATTCGTGGGAAAAGATATCATGGTAACCATCCGCTCTCGCACCCCACACCACCCCGCCACCCAGTTTTTGTGCCGGTACGCTCCTCATCTGATTTTCCGGCGACTGCAAGCCTCACCAGCCCCCGGTTTCGGTGCCGCGCTCTACCGGGCGCTGATTGGCTGTTGGCTCGGGCGTATCCGCGGTCACCGGTAGAATGACTCATTCGGCGGGAGCCCTAAAACCGCTTTCTCTACCCGACCGCCAGTTGCGTTCGCTGCTCTTGCCCGGGAGGTTCCAGAGGTCCGGAAGAGGTGAGTTCGCCTTCTGAGATAAGCTCGGTGACAAGACCTTGGTTCCGGTTCGTTAGGAGGCACGCCGTCGAGTCTGTACACGCGACAGGCTCCCCATAAGGTCAACTGTCCTGGCCGTCGCGCGCCCATGGTGGAGTAGAATACTCAGGACACCCGCAGAACCCTTTGCGAAACTGTAATTGGAAAACGAAACTTGTACATTGATGAGTTCGGTGGCGTGCAGATTGAAGGTCGTCGTTCCGTCGGCGGCTGTCGTCGGGCGGGCTTGTTTGACCCGCGGGCGCAGCGGGTTTGTACCGCAAGCGGTCAGCCCGTGCCGGCCCACTGGGCGTGGCACCACCCTAGCGCAAGGGTGCTCCGGGGACCGCAGTGGGAGGTGGTCGCTTGACGAGCGGCGGTTTTGTTGAACGTGCTGATGGACATGTCGTGTCCTCGCCACTCCGCTGTTTGCTATCCTGCGAGGGCCAGACCGGAAGTTCCCCAACGTATACCGATAATAAGCTGATATGTGACGGTGTCTGCAACTGTCGGAAGCTCTCGTCTGATTAGCAGGTCAATGCACGTCGCGTCTTGCGATGTTTGAACCCAGAAACCACCTTTCCTTGGCGAGTGTTTGAGAACAAAATGGAGGATATTTCCGTTAGGGCGTTGTCCAAAGGACGGATTTTGTTCTCACGTTAATAACGAGTACATTCCATGACTTCGTGTATGATACTTCGCTTTCTCAGCCAGTGTTACTGGTCTGATGCTGCCAAAGTGCTGCGCTGGGCGAATTCCGTCGTCTCACTACGAATGCCACGAGATGTCGCAGCGCCAAATGGCCGGACCGATGCAGGGACGCTCGCCCGATATCGACAGCAGATGCGCTGGGCATTGGAGGATGTGCGAATGTGATTTGCTCCGGCTTGCCGCACCACACCAAAGGTTTATGCTTTTTTCCATCATTTGAAGTAGCTGCCCTTGTGCCCCCACCCCTCGCTTCCGCATTGTACATCGAGTGACATCACCGGATGTGCCCCCCCCCCCCCGCCCTTCTTCGAAGCCGCCGCACCCGTCGCAACCTGACGCTCGCGCTGTGGTGTAGCCCTGTCGGCGTGCCGACCCGACATTGCAAGGTCCGGCTGGCGCGCGCCCACGGCCCAGGCGGTCAGCGCTTTGTGACGAGGCCGGGCGCGAGCCGCGGACAAACCCGTTTTTGCATATACGGCCGGCCAGGGGCCGACGCCTCGGCCGTCAGCAGGTGACGGGCACCGGGCCCCCTTGGTCCGCCTTTGTTGCGCCCGCAGCGCGGCCGCGCCCTTCGGCGAAGCTCAGCTGGCGCGGCCACGTGGCCCAGGATCGATGAAGGCGCCGTGACCGGCGGTCGGGAGCGGCAGCCGCCGGTCAACTATCAGCCGGACGCGGACGGGAAGGAAGTGGCTCCGGCCGCGATACCGCCGCCACAGCGGTCGCTAGACTCGGGCCGCCGGGCGCACGCCGTCGCGCGAGCCCCGAGGTCAGTGAAGGTCGCCACGAAAGCTCTTTATGTTTACCGCCGTCTGCGGCGCGCGCCGAGGAAAGGGCGGCGGCGACCAATGAGCGCGAGGGACGCGCCGGCGGACGAAAGTAAAAGGAATGCGGCGCCCGGGTCGCGACCTCGACCGTCGACCTCTGCCCCTGCACCATCCGTCAGCCGCCTTGTCGGCGGAAAAGCAGCCCCATTAGTCGGGTGCTGGCCTGAAGGCCGGTGACGCGTGGAGGGCGCTCTGGCCGGGCGCGCGGACCTGCAGAGCAACAGTTGTCTGGTGTTCAGGGGTTCTTTTCAGTAGGGAAGCCGCTCGCTGTTCCACGGCGTCCTCCGTTGGGCTGGGAATCGGGGTTTCCGCATCAGTGTTGATCTGTTTCCGGTCGATTTTCTGCATTGGGATGTTTTTTATGGCACACAAAGCTAAGTCGCTTCATCCGAACTCGCATATGTGATTCCTTCTTCGCGGAGCGGGAGTGCGCCCAATTTGTGCGGAATCCTGCGAGCTGCCCACGCTAGAAATGCACCCGAATATAACTCCATACATGGAAAAATACCCCTGAGAGTCCGGCTCTCGCCAGGCAGCTGAAGTAAGCCTAGCTTGGCAGGCGTCGTCTGCTGGCTTGACGCCTCGTCACAGATGTGGTCTGGTATGTTTGGTCACATGGCGCGGTAGCTCACTACAGTACCAGCTGCACGTCTGCTGGGTTCGACCACGTTGCGGTGTTAGGTGCGACTTTGTGCTCTCCCCTCGGTTGAGTATGGGTGTCCACGCACTCTGGACAGGATGGGGGGGGGGGGAGTCAATACGGGATGGGACAAGATGGCTCCGGCGTGACCTCACACGCTTTAAGGAGTCTGCCAGACTTTGAAACTGGGGGGAGATCATTGCTGAACTAACTGCGTAGGAAATTGCGGCATGCTATCTTTATACATTTGGCGTCCTTTTTTGCAATATCTTTTTTAACCTTCAATAGTAGCTTTTGCTCAACGTAAAGCCGCACCCATTCACGGTTCACAGTACGGATAAACCGTCCATGATGACTCAGTGCTCGGATCGCCCTCCCTTGATGACTCAGCTCGGATCGCCCGCCCGTGATGACTCAGGGACCGGATCGCCCGCTCGTGGTGACTCAGAGCTCGGATCGCCCGCTCGTGGTGACTCAGGGACCGGATCGCCCGCTCGTGGTGACCCAGAGCTCGGATCGCCCGGCCGTGGTGACCCGGAGCTTGGGTCGCCCGCTCGTGATCGCTCGGAGCTCGGATCGCCCGTCCGCGATGACTCAATGCTCGGATCGCCCGTCCGTGATGACTCACCGCCTAGACAAGGCGGCCATGTCTCCCGAGCTGGGGTGACGCCACCAGGGGCAGCCACCCCACGGCATTTGTCATTCGCAGACATGGCGCCCCTCTTGCAATTTTACGAGGTCCCAAAGGGCCCAGGTAGTCCATGCTATCAGATCAAAAAGAGGGCATTTAAGGTTACAGGAGGTGCTATTTGTCTGACAGCGGCTCTAGATTCCCAACGGCAGGTCCTGCTGGTTGACAGGGAGGCTCAGATGATCCAAAGGAGTCCCCATCAGAAGCCTAGTAGGCCTCGTGAAAAAACAAGTGGAGCCCACTCATCCCAACATAATGTCCCGACAAAAAACAACAAAAAACGGGGGCATGTTCGGTCCAATAGGTGTCGACATTTTTTCGATTTTCGAAAACTGGGTGCAACCTGAGGGAATAAATTTGGATAGGAGACCCTCTCATTTCTCAGTAAGCCCCTATATCTTCTTATCCTACTCGGAAAGGGTCTGTGGCGCTGCCCCCGTTCCCGAGTCGTGGGCCGCGGCCTGCAGCCCCACACCTGTCTGAGCACGCTGGCGGGCGCTGCCCCGTGCAGCACAGACACCGAGATGCGCCAGCTCCCCCGCCGCCGGACGTGCAGGAATGCGCCGCGTTGCCATGGCAGCGGCGACTTGTTGTGGCGGGCGGCTCCTGTCGCGGCGCCGGTGCTGTGCTGTGATTGGTCAACGCGCCGGTCGAGCTGCCGACGGCAGCGGACGGCCGGACCCCGGCCGGGCTGTCGGTGCTGGTCAGCGCTGTGAGTCCGCTGGGGGGAGGGGAGGGGGGGTCGTTGCTGCCGTCGGCCGCGGGCGTGCCGCGTCGCCCCCCCCCCCCCCCCCTGGCAGTAGGGGACCGTCAGTGGTCTGATCGTTTCGTCGCATGGCGCTCGCTTAGTCATACCCGCAGCACGTAGAGGCGGTGACGAACTCGGCGGGAGGTTTTGGCTGCCCTGAACGCTCTGACCGGGGTGCGAGCTGGTGTGGTGCGCTGAGAGGCGCGTCCGGTCCCAGCAGCCGGTCGCGCTTGCGAGCTGGTGCGCCGGCTGCCCCACGCCAGGGGGAGTCCACGGTCATTCTGCAAGGTCTGACGGAAAGCTGTGACCAACGTTTGGGTTCCATGCGCCCCCCCCCCCCCTCCCCCCCTTCCCTATGTATGTCGGAATCGAACTCGACAATTAAGACGATGCGTGTAATGGTGGCCTGTGAACTGTAAATATTTCTGTTTGAGCCCTTCCCCAAGCGCTCTTGGGGAGTGCTGTTCCGGAGAGTACTACCTGGTGAGCGCCGCTGGCCCCAGAGCGGTGCCACTGCGGGCGGTGCTAATGGCCGTGATGGGCCGCCCCACCGAGCCACGGCGTAATGGCCAGCGACCACGCACCCGCTCACGCGCCGCTGCCGCTGCCGTAGCACGCGCGGTAGGCTGGAGGGTGGCGACGGACGGTCGCGGGAATTCAAATTAAAGGGGTTGGTCCACAGAAAGTCGCCTTCCAGTTGAAATGCGTTGAAATGCGTCGCGATGCGTTCTCCTCATTGATATGTTATTGTTTGTGTGGCTGGAGCTCATGTTTAACGCAACAAGTCTGTAGAGTTGTGACCTGAAAGCCTACCGACGACCGCGACCGAGGCCAGTGCGCAGCCGCCTCATTGGCAGTTGTGGCAGTTATCCTGTTCCACAGCGTTTCGGCCGAAGACACGCCACGTGAAGGCGAACATTTGGTTTTGGAAATTTTTAGGCTCGAAATTTGTTTTTGCCATCAGGATTTTCTGGTCATGTCGGGGAAGCTGTCAAATAAAACGGTAGGATTTATCCGCGGCCTGAGAGAGGCCGGTGTGGATGTAGCCGAGTACGCCGGCTCGTGGCCGGCAGTCGCGTGCTCGACCGTGGAGTGCACGAGCGGTGCGGCGCGGCCAACTGCGTCAACAACGCGTCATTCTAGCCCGTGCGAGAGCAACACCCACTGGCTGAGTGTCGCAGCACACGGGCACATGATGCGCACAATCGGCGCGAAAGTAGGCCAGTTGTGACTTGTTTGCGGCAGGCGTCAGCGGCCCGTTGTGTGTGGTGTTTGTTACATGCATGTGGCTTATACGTTGTCCTAAGTGTTGCGTGGTAGATCGCAGCCATTGGTCATCAGTGTCCATCTCCGTAAAAGCGTTATGTG